AAATAATAAAAAGTATAATATTTAAACAAGAGAAAACATCGGTTTGACACATTGAATGTTTAAGGCACTTGACTAACATAAGGGTTTGGAAAAAAGCAAAGTCTATTGTCAACGCGTTTCTATCGAGTCAAAGCAATGACGCAGAGTTCTACCTAGTCAAAGCAAAGGTATAAAGAGCTTAACCAAGATGCGGCAAGATGTTTGAATGCATCCAAACAGTGAAAAAATAAGTATCCCTATTAATAACACAAGAAATTTTTAAAATGTAGACATGTTTAAATATTTCTATTTAAACTAATCTAAATATTTCTGTAATTTACGATACAGCATAATGTGATTTGGCCGTAAAGTGGCTCATAATTAAATTAAAACAACAAATTAAATTAAATACAATATATTTATTCATTATTTCATTAACATCTAAGCACTTAACTATTTAATATATCATAGTAGGCATCTCCTCTGGTGAAGAGACGGACGGACGGACGGATGGATGGACGGACGGATGGACAGCATAATTAGTAGATCAAATGATTGTTCTCACTCATGAGCAACTTGAGTGTTGAAGAGCACTTGGCTTGAAGTTGGTTACCCTATAAACGAAAACAATGAATTAGTAACAAGGTTCATAAAATATACTATAAAGTATAAATTACCTGATTAATCATGCAGCGGTGTCTTCCACGTAACCCCATTAAGACCTTCATAGTAAAACTCAACAAGTGGTTTTTATATTAACTGCCTAATTAAGTTAGTGAGGTTAGTCATGTTATTGAGTTAATAAGAGTTAAGTTAATCATGCATAATTATAGACAGTCATTGAAAAAAACCACTTGCGAGTCATTCACGTGAATGATTTTAAGGCTTCAGGGCAGTAATAGTTGGATAGAGAAGATCTGAAAAAAAGAAAGAAACATTATAGGAATGTTTGCATTTATACTGATATGGTTAAAGACATACCTGGTAAAATGTGTCTGGAAAGATTCCTGGTGAAGTGAGTCAGCGTGCAGAGCAGCAGTGGTTGAAAGTACCTGGAAAAAAATAAACATGTTATTTATTGTTCACATTTATACTGATTATGGATAAAAACGTACTTTTTAAATTATTTTCAGAGCGATTCCTGGTGAAGGGGTCAGTGTGCAGAGCAGCAGAGGTTGAAAGTACCTGAAAAAAATAAACATGTTATTTATTGTTCACATTTATACTGATTATGGATAAAAACGTACTTTTTAAATTATTTTCAGAGCGATTCCTGGTGAAGGGGTCAGTGTGCAGAGCAGCAGTGATTGAAAGTACCTGGAAAAAAATAAACATTATTTATTGTTCACATTTAAACTGATTATGGATAAAAACGTACTTTTTAAATTATTTTCAGAGCGATTCCTGGTGGAGGGGTCAGTGTGCAGAGCAGCAGTAGTTGAAAGTACCTGGAAAAAAATAAACATTGTTTATTGTTCACATTTATACTGATTATGGATAAAAACGTACTTTTAGAATTATTTTCAGAGCGATTCCCGGTGAAGTGAGTCAGTGTTCAATTTTCACTCGATACTTGGCCATTGGATTCTCAACAATTTGCTTGATATGATATTTTGAGGCCTCCATGTGATTTCATCTTGATGACCAGAAATAGAATGTAGAAATTTTCTAGCAGTTTAAAAATTGCACTTGGTTTTATATGAAATGCATTAACATGAATTTCAAACAGTGAAAATTAAAATTTAATGTAATATGTCAAATCCACATTGCATAATCTCAAATGATTCAAACGACCACATTATTATTCAATAGTTGAATAGATTAGTGTATTAGTATTTGTTATTAATATTAAAACTACTGATGCTACCTAACTAATAAATTAACCCACATGCAATACATATCGTGATCATTCGAATCATGAAATTCAATGCCTTAATGACTTTGTAAATTTCTAAAAGTTATAGTGACAATTAAAGTATTGATCAATTAATATCTTAAACAAAATCACCGGTTAATAAATCTATTCGTGCCAAATGCAATTCCAATAAATACCACATTCAGAGCGTCACAGTAACAATGTTCGTATAAAAACTGAAGGACTCTGGTAGCAGCAAACGCAAACCTACCCGCACCTGCAAAATACACAAATTATTATTGAATTTAGTTGATTATACATACATTATTAAATGTCATTGTTGATGCGTCACCAAATATTCAAATATTCATTCAAATTGTAACTATTCTTTGTCAATTTGTTGTTCAAATTGTAACTTTTTTTCAACTAATTTTGAAAACTAATTTTGCTTTAAAATTCTTGATGACATTATGATTGTGGTCCAATTTACACAATACTTCTGATATATAAATTGAAGTGAATTAGCAGATGATAATGATGTAAATAAGACTTCAAATTAAACGATCCGTATAAATGTACTCATAGTAATTCACAAAATGAATTGACAGTCATTTTTTACTTTCGCAACTTTGTGAACTCTTGCCCAGTCAACATAATAATAATATGTAGTTTTATTTAACAGTGGGCACCAAATGATGCAAAATAAAATAAATATATCCGGCGTACGTCTTAGACAGTAGTACGACTTGAGCAAAAACAACATAAATCGAGCACACGTTTTCAAAAAAAAAAAAAACAAAAATGAGGAAAGGTTTCAATTAAATCTAAAACATCTTAAAACACGAAATGCAATCCGAGTGAATCCGCAAAGAGAAATATAATTAGCACAAGTGCAACGTACCAGGTGACGCTCGCAGGTCGCATGTACTCCACAGGCAGCGAAGGGTCAGGCCCGCTCGTCCGTGTTCGACGACGTCTCGATGTCTTCTTCCAGCAATCGCCACGATGGAAATGAACTCTCACTCGCAATGGCAACTCCCTCTCCGAACTCCTATAGTCGCAAAGCATAGATGTGCAAAAGACTTGTAGACGTGCGACTGCAGAGCGTGCACGTTCGCTCGGTCGAAGATGGCGTTTCAGGAACTCGAACGCCTCTTCTGTTTTGAAATCGAAACGACGTTTATTTGAATCTTCAATTTTAACATTAAGGGTTTTATAAATTAAATAACGATATTCCATTCTTTTAGTAAACTCTCTAAAAATTTACACTGCAATGAATTAGTTGTTGTTTATTGAAATAAATAAATTTGGTGTAGAATAAATTTTATTTTTTTTCACTAACCTGTGTTTTACAGTACACTTGTTTGCTTTTCCTTTCTCAAGTATAAAATTTGTTAAATATTTTCACATTTTTAAATATACAGACAAATTTTCACTGTTTTATTTATATATCACTCATATACATGAATAATTTTGAAGTGCTTTTAAATTTTGATAGAAAATTTAGTTCTACATTCCTGCAACACGTGAAGCCAATAAATATTATATAAATACAAACATACAATTTTTTCATGTTTTAACTTATTAGTTTACAATAAAATAACTAATGATGATACAAACTAGCCACAAAACATTTGTAAACTAACAAAGTTAGCGCAAAAGAGTCTTACTGTGTACTTATTGAGAGTAGAGTTGGTTGAATATTTTGAAATATTAAAAAATCAAACCAAGGTCAAAAGAAAAATATAATTTTTTTTAAAAAATGTTTAATATTACATTTTTCTTTAAATTTCGTTTATTTTAAATTATCAAAATCAAATGACATTCTGTGAGAAAACACTCCTTTTCAAAGTTGAAAAACAATTAAATGAATAACATATAATAAATACTACTTTTTACATTTTATGATTGTTTTAATTGATCATTACAATTTTTACAAGTGTATTTTAATAATTAATTATTTTATAACTACTTAGGACTAATTTTATAAAAAATTTAGTACAGTAATCTATGTGATTACATATTGATTTGATCAGTTAGTATAAGTTTTACAATGAAACAAAACTTTAAACAAAATTTTCGTTTATCAAATAAGTTTCAAATCTAAATTTACTGCGATCATAATATAATAAACTACACAATTCAAAATTATGTATACAATTGTTAATTATAAAAATATTCTTCAAACAGCTTAAATGGTGTTCATAATAAAATAAAACCAATTTTCAAAATATAGAAAATTCAAAAATTTATTTTTAGAAATGTAAAAATACCATACTAGATATATGTCGAAACACACACACACATACACATCACAAACATTATAAAGTTATTGGTATATATAAGAACGCAAGTAAATATATACGCTGTAATACTATGCTATACATAAATTTAAAATCTTGCATAACTTTAGCTTTTTTTATGACTTTTTTAAATTACTCTTCACACCAAAATGCATATACATCAATATGAGTGATGTTAAATGTTCTTAACTGCTTTAAATAAAATGATGAGTCTCAATTTCTACACTAAATTGAAAATTAAAGTGTTTTAAACGGTACAACAAATACAGAAAAAATTAATATGTTGCAATTGTCTGAGTAAAGTCTTTACACAATACACGACTCAGAGACTTTCGTAAATTTAAAATTTGATAATAACAGATATGTGGTGGAAGTACTCAATTATAACCTACAAAAGCACATATATAAATTATACTATTGATAATTGCGTGTATATAATTAAAGGATACATTGGCGCTGTAAATGAATTATTTAATTATAAAATTGAATCAAAATTGAGATACTTATCAAGCTATTCAAGGTACACCGTACACCTAGGCACTTCTACACATATCCATTTTTTCGGCTTTTATTTAACGTTTCACGATAAATTTATTATATCAAAATGATGATGAGTTCAGTATACATATAGCACAGTATTTATGTTTTATAATTTGTTTGTTGTTAAGTGTTGCTGTTTTGTTAGTTTTTCTCTTATATTTATAGTTTCTATACCAATCTACATATATTATAATTACCTAATTATACTAATTTTTTATACTGTTTTTAGATCCACTGATGATGATATTAAATTGAATGTCCAAACGTTTGGAATTCAAGATTTATAAATCTTTGCTTTTTATTTTTTGATGTATCGCCCCACAAGTACTTACTCATATATATATATAGTGTAATGTAATAATATAAATATAAATGTAATAATAATATATTTTGATATTATGATTATTAAATCAGTCAAATTATTATATAAAATTACCAATGGATGTGTTTATCTGTTAGAAATAACTTCAGTGTCTTCTGTGTCACAATTCTAGAGTAAAAAATTAAAATGAACCATCAACATAATATTATCTATTTAAATATCTTATTTTCACCTCATTGTGCAGACAGGCATCACTGAAGTATACATAATACACATCATATTGTCTCCTTCAACTAAGCAATGGCATTTGTGATATTCACTGCACCAGTAGCTTTCAAAGCCATCCCAAAATAAGTCACAGATCTGATTATGAGGTGATTTATTACCCCTAGATGATGTACTGCCTAAACCTGAATAAATTAAAAGTCAATATTGATCATGTTTAAACTATTTCATGCTTTAAGATACATACTATTTGATGTATTATCATCATTAAACCTATTTGCAGCCATGGTTGTTTTTATTATTTGATTATGGAATGCATGCAAAACATCAACACGGTGCGCACCACTTACTGATCTTTTCAAACCAGTTAATTGTGGACTACGAGATATGACATACTTGCCAATTTTAAAATTAATTAGCAGGATGCTGAAAATATGCACAACTTATATATATATATATATATATATATATATATATATATATATATATTAGGGTGGTCCTTAAAATGGTCATTTTCGAATTTCCTTGCTCCCAGGGGCTCAAATGGTTCCAAATTGATAGAAAAACAATTCTCTAAAAGTTTTAGCTCTTAATATTAACTTTTAGATAAAGCGCAATTCAATCAAACTTCGTATGGAAAGAACATGGAAAAAATTTTGAAAATTAAAAAAAAAATGTTTTAGGTATAACATAGCCACAAATGAATGAGTTTTATTCATTCATTTGTTCGCTAAATTACATCTAAGAAATATTTTTAAAATTTTTGAAAAATTTTTCATGGTATTTCCATACAAAATATTGATTGAATTGCGCTCTATATTATTAAGAGCTAAAACTTTCAGAGAATTGTTTTTTATCTATTTGGAATCATTTGAGCCCCTGGGAGCAAAGAAATTCGAAAATGACCATTTTAAGGACCACGCTAATATATATATATATATATATATATATATATATATATATATATATATATATATACATACAGTGGTGTTGTGCTAATATTTTTTTTACCGGAACGCTAAGATTAAAAAAACGGTTCAAAAACCGGTTCTCACATTTGTACCAGTTCCTTTCGAAACGAAAAAAAAAACAAAATATATTACAAAACCTATTTTTGCATATATATGTATGTTTATCACATATAAAAGGAAAGTCTCTGTGTGTAGGGATTTTTTTTTTTTAATTTTTTTGCCCGGAACGCGTACCGGCTCAAAAATGATTTGCCGGAACGACGTTCGGGCGCGTTCCGGCTCGACAACACCACTGTATACATATATATGTACTAGGAGTCCCAGAACTCAAGGTCAAGCCAAAAGGGGGTGACAAGATTAATTTTGGCCATCAGTTTGATGTTGAGTTCTGGGGCACCCTGATTATCATCATAATTACCCTAATACTGTTGGATCAATCTGAATATGCAATGGAAAATTTCTTGGTGCGCAAAGTAAAGCAGCAGCTAATGCTTCATGAGCCTTTTGCCAAGACATTTGAATAATATTTGTAATTTCACTAGCATCTGGTGTTGGCCCACAGAGTGCTAAAATAATGCTGCTGGAAGAAACTGGTGTCCAGATTAATCGAAATGCAACCTATATTAAAATATCATATCTACTATTAGTGACCTTGAAATGATTTTAATATAATTATTGATTTAACCTACATTTGGACTCTTATGAAGTAAAAATACAGGTAGTTCTTTTACAGAATTTGTACTGGCAGGATCCAACAAAGCAACAAGCGACAATAATTGCCTCTCAAAGAAGTGCAATGTCCACCAAGCCTCTGTTGCAATTGATAGACGGTTATTTATTAACAAACAACAAAAAGGAGATTCTATTTGCTCACTAAATGATTCAAGACAAGATGCTAGAACATTTGTGTCTGGTCCTAATATACATTCTGTATAATTTATTTCTGTATTCAGATTTTCTAACATTTTTTCTACCAAAGACATACAAGGCTAAAATATTAAGAATCATAAGACATAGTTTAACATATTATCATATATTACAGTTCAAATAGACAAATGATACCTAAATAAGAAAGCATAAAAAATGTATATTTACTCTTAAATCTCTTTTCAATCGTTCAACACTTTTGATATCTTTCAGCTGATCAAGTCCAACATAAAAAACCATAGCACAAAAAACTTTTGATAAAAATTCTTGCAGAACAATTTCTGTTGTAGTTGGAGATATTATGATCAGAATTATACTAAAAAATGTATGATATTATTAAATGCATATAATAAAGAAAAGAATCTATCAACTATTTTAATATGCATACCTATCATAAAATTCTTTCCAAACAATAGATCCATTCTTAATTTTGGTAGACTGTAAATCATAAGAATAAGTCTTGCAAAAGAGATGAATGCCCTTCAAAGCACCCACTGTTGAAAATGGCAACTAAAAAGTATTATGTTTAATAAAAAAAATAATATATTAGATTCCTAAACAGTCAAATCAAGTACTTGTTCTCCGTCGCCTTTTTTCCTGTTAAATATAGGTATTCCTCCAGCAGATGTAATACATGTTAAATATACAGCCATTATTGTAAATTACTCTGTTAATAAATACTTAAGATTATGTATTTTAAATTTTATTATTGCAATGTATTACAAGAAATGAAATTAACAAACACAATGCTCTTCATCACAAAATAAATTATTTTGTTTACGTTCAATTATAATAACAGTTTTTGACACGTTGAAGTTAAACTGTCAAAATCATTGAGCTGCGTCTACATGTTCAAATTTATTCATCAGTGGTTGATTTGTGTTTACAGTGTGACATTTGTCAGTTAGTATTATGTCAAATGTCAGTTAGTATTCTGTTTACAAGCGGCTTTTTGCTATTATTGTTTCTGTATTGGTTATTATTTTATATATATTTTATTTATTTATATTTTGAATCAGAACCCAATTTCTTTAAATTATTAAGTACAAATATATTTAGTTCAACTGTGCATTTTTTGTCAAATTCAACAATGTCGAAAGTGATCAATGCTGAAAACTTTACAACAATTAGGAGATTGTTGAAAAATAGATTAGAAAATGATTATAACCAGTACCAGGATTATAACGAACAATATCTTCATTTAAAACACATGATGAAAAGAACTGTAGATCATGGGGAATCAAACTCTGCCTTAGTCATTGGACCTAAAGGCTGTGGCAAAACAACTCTAATTAATAAAGTTATTAACGAATTACTAGCTGAATATGATTTTTCTGCAAACTCTTCATTGGTATATTTGTCAGGAATAGTTCATACAAATGATCGTCTTGCCTTACAGTCAATTACTATCCAATTAAAATTAGAAGAGTCAGTTGAGGGAAGAGTTTTTGGTTCTTTTGCTGATAATTTAGCTTATCTGCTAGCATGCCTGAAAACCGGAGATAAACAGTCCAAAAGTGTAATATTCATTATAGATGAGTTTGATTTATTCTGTTCTCATCACAATCAAACACTACTTTATAATTTGTTTGATATCGCTCAATCAGCACAAGCACCTATCTGTGTATTAGGCTTGACATGCAGATTAGATGTTGTTGAGTTGTTGGAAAAAAGGGTTAAAAGTAGATTTTCTCATCGGCAAATATTTCTTTGGGACAATCGAGATATTGACAAAATAGATAAACGCATTAACTTGTTCAAAAATCTTTTGTTATTACCCACTTCAGAGAATATACCCTGTCAAAGATGGAACAAAAGTATTGAAAAATTAATGAAGATACCAAATGTTAAGAAAAACTTGGAGCATATTTTTGATGTAGACCTTAGTGGCCGAAATTTGCAAAATTTACTTATGATGACAATATCAAAATTATCTGTCGAACATCCTGAGTTAACTGAACTAGATATTCTAGATTTAGTACAAAAAACCTACAATGATAATAAAATATTCATCTTACTTGGACTTTCAGTACTTGAAATTTGTCTCTTGATTTCTCTCAAACATCATTCTGAAATTTATGATGGTGAACCAGCAAACTTTGAAATGATTTTTGATAGATATAAGAAGTTTACGAATAGTAATACATCAATTCAAACGGTTCAGCGAGAAGTAGTACAGAAAGCTTTTGAGCATTTAGTTAGTTTAGAGTTAATAGTTCCTATCGGGAACCCAATAAAAGCTCATAAAGAATACCATCTTCACACAATGCTGGTTACATCCACAGAAATCATGACTGCAGTTAAGAAATATCCTACACTTCCTACAGAAGTTTTACAATGGGCAACTAGTTCATTAGTTTAATTGAAACCTGAAAATAATATGAAACAGAATGCTTTGCTGTTAACTTCTGGTATTTACCATTTAATATTTATTATTTAATATTTGTACAAGCATATATATATATATATATATAAAAGCGAGAGGTTTTTCTTCAGATGGTGAAATAATATAATAAATTGTTTCTTGGGCATCCATCCAGTAATTAAAAAACAGTTTTAATGAAAAATGTTTTTATTTATAGAGAACATACGTTTCGGGTCTGGATTTGACCCATCTTCAGTGCTACAATTAAATAATTCAGGGTTACAAATTAAAACAATATAAAAAAATACATAATTAACAGACAGAAATAAGTAAAACAATGTATATGAAAAGTATATATGAAAAACAACCATAAAATAAACAATGTAAAGAAACTCACCATACAAATAAACTTTGAAAAACAACACAAAAACACAAAATTGCACGAAAAATAAATAAAAGTGAAATAAAAAATTGATGAAACGTCGAGTTATGAAAAATTTTAAAAAAAATTGTAAAATTAAAATGAATGATATATTTTATTATAAAAAAGCTTTTTTATAATAAAATATATCTTTCATTTTAATTTTACAATTTTTTTTAAAATTTTTCATAACTCGACGTTTCATCAATTTTTTATTTCACTTTTATTTATTTTTCGTGCAATTTTGTGTTTTTGTGTTGTTTTTCAAAGTTTATTTGTATGGTGAGTTTCTTTACATTGTTTATTTTATGGTTGTTTTTCATATATACTTTTCATATACATTGTTTTACTTATTTCTGTCTGTTAATTATGTATTTTTTTATATTGTTTTAATTTGTAACCCTGAATTATTTAATTGTAGCACTGAAGATGGGTCAAATCCAGACCCGAAACGTATGTTCTCTATAAATAAAAACATTTTTCATTAAAACTGTTTTTTAATTACTGGATGGATGCCCAAGAAACAATTTATTATATATATATATATATATATATATAATATTGAGTTTTTGAAAATGTTTTCATATATATATTTATATATATATAATATATATATATATATATATATATATATATGAAAAATAAATATGATATTTATGTATGTACCTTTAAATTGTTAAATATTTATAAACTACATAATAAATCTTGTTCAAACTAATTTGTATACTGGTTTACAATTAAAGCTATATCAGTTGTATAATAAATTATTGTAAGAATTTACTACTCATTTACACAATAATATATAAAGCACACCATAATATAATATTATTTTATCTATAATACACCATGGCTGTTAAAAACACCAAATTTATATTCTCAAATACTAACCACATACAATCCTGATTTAAATTTGTATAATATACGTTTCAACTCAACTAAGTCTATCACAAGAAATTGGACGTAGTACTGAATTGGCACTGAATTGAATATTCTAGCAAAATCACAAAGATGGAATTATCATTGTATATATGTCTATTTGAATTCCATTTTTGTTAATGATTTAATTAATTTATTTTAAGCCAATAATTGATATTAATTATGCATTAATCATTGTATTTATACTTTCCTAGAAAACTATACATCACATGTTGAAACAAATTAAGGTTCATGGCTTCTCGCCTTTCCTTAGCGCTTGTTTTAAATTTGATCCATTCTTTCCGAATCTTGTTACTCTTTGGTCCCCATTTCTCATTGGGAGTGAACACGTTTTTCAATGTCTAGAAATATTTATAATATGCATTTATAATCAGAAAGTAAATTTCAAGCAAATATTCCGTGAACCAAACAAGTTAAAAATGTGATTGTTAAAAACTGGCATTTTGCATTTTTCATTGAAAAGTTGTGTAAAGTTCATGAAATCTATATTATATAATTAATGAGTGATTAATGATTCTTGCTGCTGCGCCTTATAATATTAGTCAGTTCTAATTTAAATTAAATAGAGGGTCCATGCTAAAACCCAAGAGGTCCACGATACAAAAAAGTTTGCAAACATTTTTCTTTGGCTTTTAAATTTTTGTAATAATAACGAAAACAAACTTTGGCTTGGGGAAATTAATATTAAATTAAAACAAAAGCCTTGCCTACATTTTATATCTTCTGAAATAATTTCAAATCACAAACGATTAATTTTTGACTCAAACTCAAATATAAATATAGACTCACATCATTAATGGAATGTTTTCTATTTTTCAAATATATCCAAATTGCCCAAAGTGGTACTTGAAGTATACCAACTGCTAACATTGTCCATCCAGCAGCTGAAATTACATTTTATATTAATTCAATCAATAATCCAGCAACTGTAAATTTGGTACCATTTAAATTAATATTTCAGCTTAAATAATTATTAAATCAAGCCTCACCATAATAGGAATCAGGATAAAAGAGTTCACTATATTTGAGTGGTTTCATTACTGCTAGTGAATAAATAAATATAATGGTCATCAACACTGGGGTAACAAAGCCCCAGCAGATGCGCCAATATGGACCCACACGGACACCGACCATGAATTCAACATCGAGGCAATAATTTTCGAGACCTAATACCAAGTATCAACAACTAACTAATTAATATATCAACAATTAACAAACGAATTGATGAAGATAAATATTTTATACCATAAATCCAAAAAACTCCAATATTCTGTATAATGGCCAGAGCGAATATCAAAAACGTTGCACCGAAGTAGTCTACTAAATTCAACAGCCATTGTCCTTCCTGCAATTTAATTTTTATTTCTCTTCATTATGAAGGGACATTTTAATTTGTATATTTTATGAATTCACTAACGGGTGTCACATAAACCAATCCAATCAAAAAGCCGACTGTGCTGGCTGCAAGAGCAACTTTCCAATAGCGAATTCCAAATTGATCCGATATCACCGTAATAATAGCTCCATGTAGGGCTACCGCTGATCCAACCCCGAGAACAAATAACATGAAGAAAAATAAGACAGAAAATACCTACAATAATCAATAAAATTACAAATTAGATCTAACAAAACCTCAATTTAAACAAATAATAAAAAAAATATAACTTTTGAATAATTACCTGTGGCACCATATCAAACTTGGATATAGCATCAGGATAAGAAATAAACGCTAAACCTGTTCCACTCTGTATTACCTGACCTATGTCATCAATATTCAAATTGTGAGCTAAATTGCCCAAAATTCCAAATATAGTTGTTCCGGCCAATAAGCTTGTGAATGTGTCTAATGTTGTAACAATTAACACGTCTCTAAATTAAAAGTAAAAATATAACAAAAATTAAAATAATGTAAGCTAAACGGTATCAATTTTTGTTTGGTTAGTAAAACTTCATGAAAAGCAATATTTGAGTTTGATGGTTAACAGAATACAAGTGTGTTGAAGGAAATTCATGGAAATGAAGTTTCGGAAGGAAATAGGTTTTCATTTAAAGGTGTCTTGATAAATGAGTATAAAGATAATAGTTGGAGTAATTTCAAAACATTTTTTTTTCTAAGTTAAATATAATGAATAAAGATAGCAATTAATAATTAACTAACTGATAATAATAATTGGGCTGATTGAGATAAGTGCTCTCTTAGACGATTATTTAATAATTTAGTACAGTTGAATAGAAAACTTAAATAAAATTAATATTTATAATATGAATTATTAATAAGTGACACATATTTATTAAATTTTTACTTTATAATGCACTAACAGTTAAATTATAGTGATGATAAAAGCTGACGGCCACGACATAACGAAATATTTCTTTACTGCAAAGAAAGTTTTCGACCGCGCCTGTTGATAATATTTTGATTTTGAGAAATATACATTATAAGATATCCTTCACCGATGCAAAATTTTTCACAAATTCCATTAAAGAGTCAATATTTTGATTTTGAGAAATATATAATATATAAGATATCCTTCACCGAGTTTTAAAAATAGTTTTTAAAATAGTTTGAATCCAACACCTGGTGATGCAAAATTTCTCACAAATTACATTAAAGAGTCATCAAACTGACCTGTAGACGTTGTTATCAAATTTGTTATATGACGAAAACATTATAATAGCACCATTGCAAAGAGACAACGAAAAACAAGCTTGGGTCACAGCAGCGTGCCAAACCTAAATGAGGATAATAATTTGCAAAACGCAATTAGATAAAATTAAAAATGCACTGAAAATATATTATATGTATAATATATTTTTTTGTAGTAGAAACATTTATGAAATTTCTTTCACAGTAAAAACGGCGATCATGAAATTATTTACAAAGCTTCTAAGAAATTTTCTAGCACAAGTAAACTTTTACTGTATCGTGAATTGGGACTAAAAATTACAAATTAGATAAAGTAGATACTACAAATTAGAGAAAGTAATATAAACATTTTGAAGTTTTCATATGAATGTTAAATCAATTAATTCTTTGAAATCATTATAAACAATGATAAAACAAAATATTGTGTCAAGGAAATACATAATAGTAATTTGCTTGTTATCATTATACACTATTCATACAATACGTTAAACAAAATTATATACACATCGCGTGCAAATGATAAAACATAATGTAAATATATAAAATGTTACATTGCCATCTTCTGGTATTTTTAACGAAAAACTGTTAATAAGCTAAAATATTATTTATATATATTATATCAATTAACTGTATTATATATATTATATCAAGTACTGACTAGAGATAAATTTTAGACGAGCAAGTGTTATTAAGTATGTATATACAAATATGCATTTACACATAATTATACATATACTCATTTATATATTACATATATACCAAATTTTAATTATAAATATTATTCATTATTATGCACAAATAATTTTCTAATTGTCTTATCGATGCTAAGATTCAAATTACCGCATGGCCTATATAAAATTATAAATTACGTAATATTTAGTAATAGAAAACATGATAAAAATTGGCTCAAGAGACAATTATTATTTTCACCTGCACCGCACATTTCTGCAATATTTACAGCACAAACAAAAACAACACAACAGAAGACATATTTCACATTGATGAAATATTCACAAATGCATGATAGTAGCACTCTCACGTGTATTTTCTCACCTGTGAATATTTCTGTCAAAATTATTGTATGAAGAGAAAATTAATATCGGTCCGAAAGATATCGCCAGCGAGAAGAAGCATTGGTTCACAGCTTCCTTCCATACCTGTGCCATCCGTTATATAAGTTAAAAATAATAATAAAATTATCCAAATAAAAAGAAATTCATGAAAAATTTCTTTATATAAATTGTCCCATCAATTATTCCTAAATTCTTAATTACTGGAGCGCATCTGACCTCGTACAGGTTGTTCAGTAAATTAATTAATCTTAAGTATCTTATTTCATTTCATTAATTATTCTCAGTTAAATATATTCATAAAAGTGTGCTTATAAAACAAAACTTGCCTTAGGATTTAGAAGTTCTCCCCATTGAGGTTCTATGAAGAACAAAATTCCTTTTCCTGCTCCTTCTAAAGTTGCTGCACGTATCAGCAAGGCAATCATAACAACATATGGAAAAATTGCCAGGAAATATGAGACTTTTCCTAAAAATAAATCCATAATGTAAGAAATTGACGAATAGTATTAATAATGTTATTAAATCATCATCAAAAAAGTTACCGGAACTGCTCACGCCTTTGACCAATACCAGGAACACTACTAACCATGCAACAAAGAGACAAATCGTCAAATTAACATCTGGTAAACCTAAAATATCGATTTCAAATTAATGAAAGTTATATTAATTCCTGCAATATATCGAAAATCGGATATTATTAAAATATTGCGTAATAGTTTTATGAATTTGCATTTTGTGTAAATTGCATTACGAAGAAATAAGAGCTCATTAATATTTGACTAAGAAATTCTATGAAAGATAACTAGTATAAAATAAAACATCAATCCATAAGTCGTGCCATAATAGTATAAAACAAACATAGGATGAGATATATAAAGACAGATCATATGATATGCATTGATTTACTGACCTAAGCTACTAGAAATTAGCTAGTAATTTTCACAAAAAAAATAGCTCTGAACTAAATCGTAATTCCAAAGAGGAAAATCTCGTTAGATTTCCTTGCAGCGTCGAAGTCGTTGAATTGCTGCTAGGAGCTGAATCAACACAAATTTTGTTGATGGTTTCCTCCCACTCCGGCTTGCAATAGGACCAGGGCAAGTCGGAGGCAAACGACGAATATAAATAGAACAAAGTCAGAGCCATCAGGCAACAGTAGTAGGAAACTACACAGCAGGTTGATATTATTTGACCAATGCCTATGCCTGGGAATAAATTATCAGAAAATTTATTAGGTGCAATATCAAGCAGACAAAAGAAAAAGAATATATATATATATATATATATATATAAATATATATACATTACTAGCTGCCCTAGAATACGTTATATACCTTTTAAAATTGGACATAAAGCCCAAATCTTCACTGAACTTTTACTAGTAAATTGCCCCAATGTCATTTCCAAATAATACACAGGTTTTCCAATAACAAATAATACGATAATGTATGGTATGAGAAAAGCTCCCCCACCATTTTCGTACGCAGTAAATGGAAATCGCCAAATATTTCCCAAACCTACTGACATGGCTATGCAGGACATCAAAAATTCGACTCCGTTCGACCACTTCGGCCTCTCGTCCACCTCCGTACTGGTGATACTCGCTGTGTCATGATTCCTTGTCTGAAACTGAAAGGAAAATATATTTCTTATCAATAGGATAAATATCATTGAATGAAAAATTGAAGTTTAACCTTTCATGCACTTTCCACCTTTTTTCACTATATTTTTTTGATACATAAGTAAACAGTTTATGGTTGATGGCGTGCGATGCTTTTTTACAATGCTTAATATTAATAACTCGCATTACAGAAAACAAATTTGAGAACATTTTTATTGGTTTTAATTAATTACATCTTTAGTATTGGCAGATATTGTTATGCAAAAGTACATTGATTGACGATACTCTAAGCATACGAGTTTACTACTAGCGCACAAAAACACTAACAACTAGCAAAGAGCAAGAAAACGTTTTGTGCAGCTAGTAATATAAAAAAATATTTTTTATCGCATTCGGTCAATTTGATTAATTATAAGATTTATTTTAACAATACTTGTACCTGCAAAGAGGCAAAAATAAAAATTCAAATGATAAGACAATTTGAATCCTTTGACAATAGTACAAGTGCGATGGCATGATGAATAATTATGCTTTAATCTTTTATGAGATTTTACAGCGCTGCGCAATTTGCTTACTTATTATTGCAAAATCAGCGTAAAGAAACTAATTGAGCATTTTTATACATGAGCATATGAATTACACAATGATTGCGTTTCAAAAAGAAATAATTTTGTAATAAATCATCTATTATATATATGACGCCGTGTTGATTATGACAAAAAATGATTAGTTCCGTTTCTATTCTATGATGACAAAAATCATTTTAATTCGAATGCATTTAATGATTTTTATTAAAACATTATTCAGAGTTTAATAATTAATTAAACCAATTTATATTAATAAAGTCTCCGTAATTGATAGTTGTAAAAATTTATAATTCAATAATTTTAACTTTGAAAGAAGTTTAAAAATTTATTTCAAATATTGTGCCTAGATATTCGCATATTGTCAAATAAACATATTTTCTTACTATTATAATCAGTGGCGGCATTAGGAGTCAGCGACTGCCTAGGGGCATTGCAAAGTTTATCATTTGATGAGCAATAAATTTCATTCACTCATACATTAGTTTTTCTATAATTCGGCTTATGCATTTTAACGTTTTTTTAACTGGCTAAAAGGGTTGTCTAGCAAAGGACGTATAAAATTACATTTATATACATATAAATAAAAGTATAAGCCTCTTCCTGGATAAGCCATTTATCTTATCTTAGTACTTGCTTCTGGCAAGATGAAATAATATGCATCGATATCACAATCAAACCATAAATAAATAGAAAGTATATTAGGACCAGAATTAAGTATGTGACACATATTAAATCTAGATATCGAAAATTGCAGGACAACACACCTTAAATGCACTCAATTGAATTCTTTTGTTAATAGTCCAGTCATTACAGTAATTTCACCTCGGAATTCGAGATACCCAGCTGTAAGTCTGCAAATACCCTAAAATAGCATCCTAAAAGTTGGGTCAAAACCTACATATGGTATGGTTTACGTAGATTTTGAGAGAAACTTATGGGTGCTATTTTAGGGTATATACAGACTTACAGCTGGGTATCTAGAATTCCGAGATTCTTACCTAATTAAATTAGGCTAATTTAAGCTTAAATGACTGGACTATAACCTGCAGAAAGATAAAAGTGCATGCTTATCCAAGAATATTACCATGGCTGCCGTTACGTCTAATAACACATAGAAAGGTGACAAGGACAATTTGAGGTATTCCCATGTACATGCATAGCATGACGCACAGAACATTTATTGCTTTAGTAGAGTAACAAGTTTCGAATAATTTTAGATTGAAAAGAACTAGAATTTATTTTAAATTGCACAATGGCATTATTTTACATACCTCGATTGCATGCCCATTTTCCAAATTTTCATGGCTTTGAGTGAATGCTGGATTGCTGTGTCCATTTTTATCAATCACCTGTGCAATTAAGAATAAACAGTTAATAATTAAGAAAGTAAAGAATATATATATATTTATATATATATATATATATATATAGGAATAGTTAATTTTGATGTTTAATTAAAATGAAGGTTAAATCTTGATGAGGTAGAATGTTAAGGATCTTCTTGGAGCGTCTTTATCCAAAAATCTAAACGCTTTGACACAAAATTCTATTCAATCATTAGTGGATATGAAAAAAATATATAACTTGCACGTTATACTACATCTGTAAGTAATAACCTAATACTGTAATAATTTTTTCTTTAAGAAGATAGAGATCCGTTCAAGATTCGATGTAAATTCGGCCTCTGTATTACAGAATACAGAAATTATTAGTATTTATTACATGCAAATTATATTTTCTCCGTTTTTGTACTATTATTGTATGTTATTTTTAATTTCAAAATTTTGTTTATTGATGATAATTTTATAATCTTTAAAATCTCTCCAAGTCCTCCAAGAGTTTATTCATATGAATATTATTTTGAATGGTATAGTGGTTCGGAAAGATATATAATAATACAAATAGAGCAAAAGAATATATATATATATATATATATATTATATATATATAATGGGTAGTACTGCCCTAAGGCAGGTCTATGAGCTGAGCTAAACTCGAACTCGATTCAGTGAGAAGTAGCCCCCCGAGATGGGCTTATTTGCAATTGGAAACATATTTTGATCTATATATATATATATATAGATATATCATTCTAATATTATAAAATGAATAATTGGTTATTCAAAAATGTTTATATATTTTTTATTACAATTAGAGTACCCAATATTGACAATAACTCATAATCTAATTACACATCATTATCACAAAATAGTAATTTGAATAAATTATTTGCAATTCAGCGAGTGATATAAAAATACCGTAGGTTTTAATTTATGTAAATTTATGTAGTATAATTTAACGACAATTGTTCTACGTTTATTGTTATTATCAATATTCCTAATATATATTATATCAATTTCTCGTATTCAGAATTATTCCATATTTGTACATTTAGAAATGCAAAATGCAGACAACTTATATGTAAATGTATGTTAATTTACAAAAGATAATTAGACAATAGAATTGGACGCGTTGCAATTAAAGTGATTGTACACCATGCATTCTATAAATTTTAAAAAGTATGAAAAAATTGAATGAACTGAATAAACTTGAAAATTGTTATTTTCGACCGGTTTTATTATTGACTCAAAACAGATTGAGTTTGTTAAATAAATAATTTTGAATAAATTTAGTAACATAAACAGCAATTGTCATTATCACCAAGTCTTATGTAAACTGAACGAATTGTCTGACTGGTTTAATCCCTTATTTAGCAGAGCAGATTGTATGATTAATTTTTATTGCGTTATTTATAATGGCAATTATAAACTTTTCCATTGTTTTATAACATGAATTGATACGATAAGCGCGAATAATTATGATGAGGACTAAATATAATATCATTCCTTGAGGTAGTTTTCATAGACACAATACTAGTATTTGCAATTGAATTTGCATTTAATAATTAGAATAATATATTTAATTAGAACTAATAATAATTTTGCTGTTATATATATATATATATATATATATATATATATATATGATATGTACCACATAATAAAATATACTACGTAGCAGTCATTTCACCCCAAAGAAGGGCACCCTTAAAATCTCAATATCGTAAATATATATATATATATATATATATATATATATACTAAAAATTTTAGAAAAAAATCAGGACTTACCGATATTGAAAATCCATTACCGTTGATTTTGTCGTTCATTTTGCTATTGTTCTAAGTTTCACAATTGAAGAGTCGGAAAATTACATAAGTAGCACTTTGATTTGAATAAATAAAATGATAATTTTATATTGATTAGAATGGTATCAATTTTATTAATTATATTTTTTAATTAATTAAATTAATTTATGCCATAAAAATTGTTTAGTAATTATATAAAAGTTGTCTTATAATCAGCTGCCTACGGTTTATTTACATTACCTTAGCACTTTTTATGTCAAGATTAAAATCGCATATTTTTGTTGACATTATTATCTCTTATTGTCAGATTAAGAAAACGGGGCAAATTTAATACATATATAAGAATATATTAGCACCGAAACGATAATGCATTAATATTCCGTACGCTAATGAATTAGAATAACTCTGTTTTTTAAAAAATGTACTCATGAATATCTTCTATATTTAATTTTCAATTTTAAATATTATAGTTTAAAAAAAATAATTTAATATAAATTGTAAGCATTTAGTAAGAGGAGTTAAGAACACGATGAATAATTTTTTTGCACTTATAGTAAATTCTCGTTTTAAATTTAAACGATTTATTTCTCAGCGAGTTTTTCAATCGCGTTTCTTCTTCACCCATTAGTGGCTTATTTGAAAATTTCGAAACGTCCGATTCGTCAGGCGTTCGTGAGACTTATGAAGGTAATTTGAAAATCTTCCAGCTATCTTAACCGCCCGCAAATAACTGACACACCTACAGGTAATACCTTAATATAAACGTCATATCACGTTTTATGATATTTAGAGTTATATTCACAAATTCATCTTGATTGGACAAACGCTTCCAATTCAGTCACGCGGTCTCCGGGGGTTTCACAGAAACTGCTGGGTTTTGAGGAATAACTTTACAGTCGATTTGAGAAAAAGAAAACTAAATTACTTCAAGGTCTCTTCATCAACCGATAATAAACCGACAGGTTTTTCTAAGAATTTTCGAGATTTTTTATTTACTTCAAAATCTACTTGCATTAAATCAATTGCTCACAAATTAAAAAAATAAAACTATTAATTTGGTAGATTGGATTGTTTACTTATTAGAATTTGCTAAATAAATCATTAGGATTTTTTCTATAATTCTGCCATGGATATCCTAACAAAGATCTTAGAATATTCGGTTACACTATTATTTACATACTTATAAATGATCCTAATAAAATTTTAGAGAATCCATTTCATTTTCTATTGCAAACTGCTATATACCTATGTTATGTCTTTGATTAGATTTTCTTGTTTAAAAACGTTATTTCAAAATTTTGTAGAGGTTCTCCAAATAAAATATTCTTATTAATTGAATGGTTTAAATGCAAAATATATACGAACGATAAATTTAATTTCAGTCAATTTAAAAAAAATTGAGGTCCTATGTTAATCTTGAACCAATTTTTTTTTTCAAAGTTTCGAATCTTGCCATGCTTTTATATTATATCTACGAGAAGGGCAAATTGCTATAATATTTATATTATAAAAAATCCACAATTTTGTACAAAATTTTCAAAAACTATATGCATGAATATGGATAAAATTGTTTAAAAGTTTTGGAGAAAATAAAATGACGTAAAAGTAACAAATAAGACACAATAATTAAAAACTATATGCATGAATATGGATAAAATTGTTTAAAAGTTTTGGAGAAAATAAAATGACGTAAAAGTAACAAATAAGACACAAAATTAACATAAGCTCATACTTGTTTATTGATGCATAAGCTGCCAAATTTCAATGAAAATTTAAAATTACCGCTCCTTTATATTAATAACTTATAAGTATATGACGAAAATAAATATATGAGATAAGGTAACCAAATAAAGCTGCAAATTACGGAATGAGACAAATTGTAAAGATAAACAATAATTGCGAGTTATACAATTAAAATGGAAAACTATGCTTCTAAACTAGCAAGGTCTACTTGTGGTTGTAAATTGAATTAAATAGATATAGACATGTAAAATAGCACAACTTGAAAAAACAATTATTATTATAAAATGCTGTAGTGACTGATGTAGTATTGCTCTGATGATTCGTCACTAAATCTGAAACAGAGCATAATAATTTTGAGTACCTATGCAAGCTCTGCAATAAAATCATATATGATTAAGTACCCGAAGGAAAAGTTTAATTCCCCTCGATAATACGTTGTGCTTATTATATATTTTCTCGATATTTCAAGTCATTCTGAATCATTTGGCATAAAATTGGAAAAAGTATGTGTATGTATGTCAGGCAAAATTCAATCTTTTGTCCACGTTTTCTCAAAAACAGCTGTACCGATTCTAAACTTTTAAATACCATTAGATAAAGCTCGATAAAGACTCGCATGAATTGACCTAGCCCTTTCTTATAAATAGTAGTTAAGTGCAAAATTTTGTTCGTATTTTAGCCAGAAATCAGGTACCAATTTAAAAATTCGTGTTGTAAATCACTCTGATTTGTGGAAAGATCTGCCGAATTGAAAATAACAGTTTTTGACGATTTTGATAAAATTTTGAATGATAATAGAGTTCATAATATTAACGAACATCCTATAACATAGGCATACGAAAATGGTTAACTATAAAAAATCGTTAAAATTTCAAGTCGCTAAATTCCAATTGTTATTAATTAACCACACATAATCGGAAAGTTTTTGCTCCGTGCCCTAAAGGCGTACATACACTTATAATTAGTTCAACATGAATTGTAATATATATATATATATATATATATATATATATATATACGAGGTCTGTTCAAAAAGTACCCGGAATTTTCGTTTTTTCAAAAAAATATTTATTTATTCGTCTACATTAATGTGGTCCCTTTCAAAGTAGTCCCCCCCAGATATAATACACTTATGCCAGCGTTTTTTCCAATTTTCGAAGCACCCTTGATATTCACTTTTTGATATGTCCTTGAGCACTCTCAGCGATTTTCTTCAATCGAGGAAAACCGCCGTCCTTTCATGGGTCTCTTCAACTTTGGGAATAGGAAAAAGTCACACGGAGCCATATCTGGTGAATTTTTGCACTTTGCAACACTTTATTTCATTTTTTACGCAAAATTTAATACAAATTCTTTGACTTTTCAATTCTTCCATTGTAAAAATCGCCGAGCTCAGAAAAACACGTCGAACCTTTAGCGACTACCACAGACAAAGTAAACAGTGAATATATCTGAAAATTTCATCATACTTTAGGGGCATGTATACCAACACAATAAAAAAAAAATTTTGACAATCAGACACTCCAGACCCGCGAAATTTAATTATTAGTAATTCCGGGTACTTTTTGAACACACCTCGTACATATTATATATATATATATATATATATATATATATATAAATATTAAATATATATATATATATATATATATATATATATAGATCTGCTATATTAGTATCGCTATAAATAATGACAAATTTTATAGCCGTGCATTAAACATATACCAGTTTATTCCGAACATATCTAGAAATCACCTGCAACGTGTATTTTGAATATTTTCATTATTATGCCCGCAGCTTCAAAGTTCCGAGTAAAACTGCTAACTTGCTTCTTGGTACTCATTACCAATATATTCACTGTGGATAATAAAAATAATTAAATTCAAAACACATAAAATGTTACAATGTTAAATTCAGATTTATTAGTAATTTCCTCTAAGTTTTTGCGTTAAGAAGATTAGATTTCTAGCAATATAACAAATTACACAATCATTCCTGGAACTTTTTAACTTCCCGTAGGGTAAGTTATTGTAATGGGCCGGAAATCGGAATTGAAAATTTTAACATTTCTCGACGTTTTGAAGGTTTTTGAACGTTTTGGCATACCTCAAAAAATGATGTTGTATGTGTGTGTGTGTGTGTGTGATGTATGTATGGATACAAATTTCCAGTCACGTTTAGGGCCACGGATAACCGATTTGAATGGTTCAAAACATTCGATTCCTATTGATAGGGAAATGGGAAAGGGAAAAAAAAATAGGGAAAAGAGCGAGAGAGATCAAATCATCAGTGCAGTAATCGGATATAGTACCTTTGCCATTAAATAATAATATTAAATGAGTTTTCTCGAGCAATATTTTGAAATGTTACTATTTAATTGCCATTTGTGGTAATTATTACTTAAATAGTATTTGTAAGTTAAAGTTTAAGTTTTAAATGTCCGATACCCTGTTTTATTATACAGTAGTGATATCTATTTTTGCTGAAAATTATGGCTCAGAAATATGTTTCCAAGTGAAAACAGCCCATTTCAGGTATTGGTGTTATTAAAAATAGGTGTAAGTAGCTTTTTGTCTTAAAGCAAGTTGCAAAATTTTCGGAATATCTAAATCAATAAGTCTAAATCAATAATAATTCAAATTTTAAATTTTTTGAAATTGTGATTATAGCATTTTTAAATTTTGACACGACCTATTATTGCAGACTTTGATGAAATTCTATGATTAGACCACTTTTCATAGGCCTATAATAGAACTCTATTATCACAAAAAGTTTTACAAAAACGGTTAAAAAAATCAGCAAATAATTACTCTATATAAGAAATGGCCCAGCTAATCTTTACCAACCAACAACTAGTTTTACTTTTAAAAATATTTTCAGAATAAAACTCATATTTTTTTAATTTGTTTTTATATTGAACATTTTTTGGTATGCTTATATTGGATATTCATACAAATGCATAATAAATTGTTCATCTGCAAATATTCATCGTAAACATTTATAGAAATACTATTAGCTATTTATATATAAATTTAAACGTTGATCAAAATAATTATTTATTTATGATTAAGTTCAGAACCTTGACTTTTCATCGTACCTAAATTTATCAATTATCAAAACATAATTTAATAAATAAACAGTGTGTTATTGCTGGCGCCTGTCATTTTTCGCGTATAGGAAGGAATGCAAATTCAAATCGTCGCCTAATTCAAAATACTTAATTTTAAATTTCATATACCAATGATTTTGCGCGGCATTCAAGTAGCGGCCAATGTTTGTATATTTTGAGTGATTTTAATGTTTGCATTTAAAACGAAAATGTATTAAATCTGTTATCACCTCAGTATTTTGACAAATCTATTGACAAGTTGCAAATTGGAAACTCACGATCTCAAGAATCTCACCATACGGTTTACCCATATCTTATGCATCGGTACACCTGTGTTGAATTACTAAAATATAACTATTGTATATAAATGTCAATATTTTGGCAAATACGCAGGAAATTTTTTAAGAATGATCGATGTGGCGTGTTGGTAATAAGTGTGTATGCTTCATAGATAAATATTTAACACTGTTGGATTAATGCCAAATTTGGATAATGAATCAATAGATGCATCTACCAAACTAATCGATAATTCAAAGAT